ACACTTCCTTCCTCCTAATCCCTTCCTCTCTCTCACCACACCAATGGGGTTCGTTTCGTTGTCCTAAAACAACACGGGTTGATGGAAGTAAGGCCACCGCAGCCCACCTACCCGTTACTGACACAGGCCACATGACCCATCACATACCAGCGCAAGTGAAGCCATCAGGTAGCAGCACAAATCCAGTGTTGCAAACACAGGACGCCACTCCTGCAGCGCTCTTCACGCACGTGCTGTTACCACCACACTTCTTAAGCACACATGTGTCTGCCGAGGAAGCTGGCACAAGGAACAGGGAAACATGTGTATATAGAGAAACAGGGAATTATCATGCATGTGCATGTGAAGGGAGAGGGGTAGAAGGAACACAGTGAGTATGACACAAAGCAACAGCAAGTGTACGAAAAGAAGAACACATCAGCAGCACGTACCAGTGCATGTCCTTCCATCAGTTTGAAGAGCAAAGCCCACGTCACAAACACAGGAGGCCACTCCATTGCTGTCCTTGGTGCATGTGCCGTTGCCACCACACTTCTTGAGCACACATTTGTCTGCCAATGCAAAGAGCCACAAGGAAAAGTCAACGGGGAAGGGTAGCATGTGCAGGAAGAGAAACAGTGAGTTGTCGGGCATGTGTGTGAGGGGGAAAGGGGAGAGGAGGACCTTAGGAGTACCAGAGTATGACGGGTAGCAGCAGAATGTATAAGAAGAGAAGCACACACACAGCAGCACGTACCAATGCATGTCCTGTTGTCATATTTAAGAACAAAGCCCGCGTCACAAACACAGGATGGCACTCCATTGCTGTCCTTGGTGCATGTGCCGTTGCCACCACACTTCTTGAGCGCACATTTGTCTGCCAATGCATAGAGCCACAAGGAAAAATCAACGGGAAGGGCAGAATGTGCAGGAAGAGAAACAGTGAGTTTATCGGGCATGTGTGTGTGGGGGAAGGGGGAGAGGAGGACTTTAGAAGTACCAGAATATGACGGGTAGCAGCAGCATGCATAAGAAGAGAAGCACACACACAGCAGCACGTACCAATGCATGTCCTGTTGTCATATTTGAGAACAAAGCCCGCGTCACAAACACAGGATGGCACTCCAGCACTGTCCTTGGTGCATGTGCCATTGCCACCACACTTCTTGAGCGCACATTTGTCTGCCAATGCAAAGAGCCACAAGGAAAAATCAACGGGAAGGGCAGAATGTGCAGGAAGAGAAAAAGTGAGTTTATCGGGCATGTGTGTGTGGGGGAAGGGGGAGAGGAGGACTTTAGAAGTACCAGAATATGACGGGTAGAAGCAGCATGCATAAGAAGAGAAGCACACACACAGCAGCACGTACCAATGCATGTCCTGTTGTCATATTTAAGAACAAAGCCCGCGTCACAAACACAGGATGGCACTCCAGCACTGTCCTTGGTGCATGTGCCATTGCCACCACACTTCTTGAGCGCACATTTGTCTGCCAATGCAAAGAGCCACAAGGAAAAATCAACGGGAAGGGCAGAATGTGCAGGAAGAGAAACAGTGAGTTATCGGGCATGTGTGTGTGAGGGAAGGGGGAGAGGAGGACCTTAGAAGTACCAGAGTATAACGGGTAGCAGCAGCATGTATAAGAAGAGAAGCACACAGACAGCAGCACGTACCAATGCATGTCCTGTTGTCATATTTAAGAACAAAGCCCGTGTCACAAACACAGGATGGCACTCCAGCACTGTCCTTGGTGCATGTGCCGTTGCCACCACACTTCTTGAGCGCACATTTGTCTGCCAATGCAAAGGACCACAAGGAAAAGTCAACGGGAAGGGCAGCATGTGCAGGAAGAGAAACAGTGAGTTATCGGGCATGTGTGTGTGGGGGAAGGGGGAGAGGAGGACCTTAGAAGTACCAGAGTATGACGGGTAGCAGCAGCATGTATAAGAAGAGAAGCACACACACAGCAGCACGTACCAATGCATGTCCTGTTGTCATATTTAAGAACAAAGCCCGTGTCACAAACACATGATGGCACTCCAGCACTGTCCTTGGTGCATGTGCCGTTGCCACCACACTTCTTGAGCACACATTTGTCTGCCAATGCAAAGAGCCACAAGGAAAAGTCAACGGGAAGGGCAGCATGTGCAGGAAGAGAAACAGTGAGTTATCGGGCATGTGTGTGTGTGGGAAGGGGGAGAGGAGGACCTTAGAAGCACCAGAATATGACGGGTAGCAGCAAAATGTATAAGAAGAGAAGCACACACACAGCAGCACGTACCAATGCATATCCTGTTGTCATATTTGAGAACAAAGCCCGCGTCACAAACACAGGATGGCACTCCAGCACTGTCCTTGGTGCATGTGCCGTTGCCACCACACTTCTTGAGCGCACATTTGTCTGCCAATGCAAAGGGCCACAAGGAAAAGTCAATGGGAAGGGCAGCATGTGCAGGAAGAGAAACAGTGAGTTATCGGGCATGTGTGTGTGGGGAAAGGGGGAGAGGAGAACCTTAGAAGTACCAGAGTATGACGGGTAGCAGCAGCATGTATAAGTAGAGAAGCACACACACAGCAGCACATACCAATGCATGTCCTGTTGTCATATTTAAGAACAAAGCCCGCGTCACAAATACAGGATGGCACTCCAGCACTGTCCTTGGTGCATGTGCCGTTGCCATCACACTTCTTGAGCGCACATTTGTCTGCCAATGCAAAGAGCCACAAGGAAAATTCAACGGGAAGGGCAGCATGTGCAGGAAGAGAAACAGTGAGTTGTCGGGCATGTGTGTGTGTGGGAAGGGGGAGAGGAGGACCTTAGAAATACCAGAGTATGACAGGTAGCAGCAGCATGTATAAGAAGAGAAGCACACACACAGCAGCACGTACCAATGCATGTCCTGTTGTCATATTTAAGAACAAAGCCCGTGTCACAAACACAGGATGGCACTCCAGCACTGTCCTTGGTGCATGTGCCGTTGCCACCACACTTCTTGAGCACACATTTGTCTGCCAATCCATAGAGCCACAAGGAAAAGTCAACGGGAAGGGCAGAATGTGCAGGAAGAGAAAAAGTGAGCTATCGGGCATGTGTGTGTGGGAAGGGGGAGAGGAGGACCTTAGAAGTACCAGAGTATGACGGGTAGCAGCAAAATGTATAAGAAGAGAAGCACACAGACAGCAGCACGTACCAATGCATGTCCTGTTGTCATATTTAAGAACGAAGCCCGCGTCACAAACACAGGATGGCACTCCAGCACTGTCCTTGGTGCATGTGCCGTTACCACCACACTTCTTGAGCACACATTTGTCTGCCAATGCATAGAGCAACAAGGAAAAGTCAACGCGAAGGGCAGAATGTGCAGGAAGAGAAAAAGTGAGTTATCGGGCATGTGTGTGTGGGAAGGGGGAGAGGAGGACCTTAGAAGTACCAGAGTATGACGGGTAGCAGCAGCATATATAAGAAGAGAAGCACACACACAGCAGCACATACCAATGCATGTCCTGTTGTCATATTTAAGAACAAAGCCCGCATCACAAACACAGGAGGCCACTCCATTGCTGTCCTTGGTGCATGTGCCGTTGCCACCACACCTCTTGAGCACACATGTGTCTGAAGTGGGGAGGTAAGGTGGGTGAGCAAGTGAGGAGAGTTGCCCACCTTTTATGTGACAAGCCTCTTCGGTCTAGCCTGATACCTGACAGGCTCCTGACACTGTTTCCTGACACCCTGCTCTTAACACCTGGATCGACAACCAGCTGAACACACACCAGGCGCTGACACCGGGTACTTTACTTACTGCCTGAAAAAATCAGAGCGCCTCGAATATTAGGCTTCTGGGACCTACGGGAATACATCTTGACTGCTGTCATGACCACCGATTACCTCGTAAAAATCTCCGTATAATGTATGTGAGCATTTACCTGAGGGATAACCCTCAACTTGCCCATGATCTCGGGCAGAGGATGCTATCATCAAATGCTGGCCTCAAGACCACATTTAAAAGCTCACATGGGCATAGAATCACAGGTCTGCCCAACCGCCCAGTAGCACTGTTGACGGGAGTTGGCTCCGCCCTCGCTAGGGCGAAGCCGACTTCATGGTCGGGTGCGCGGGAGGAGAAGCAGATTGTCTGCAGTGGTCGACGCTGGCCTGGGCGAGCAGGTTGACGAAGCTGGTCGTCCCGTGCGGGACTATTGTGACGCCGTCGACGAAGGAGGTCGGCGGCCACCTTCGATTGAGGTGGTTGACGAAGCATTTCGTCGACCTGAGGGGTCGCCGATTTGGTGAAGTCGGCGGCTAGCGTCGATCTGGGCGGTCGATGAGCACGTACAGTTGGCGTGCTCCTACCGCCCAAGTTGGCGCCGACTTGGTGCTTTTCCACCTGGGTGGTCGACGAAGGGGTTCGTCGACCAGGATGGGCACCGACTTAGGTGGTGGTCGACGAAGGAGGTCGTGGACATAAAGGGTGCCGAGGACTTTAAGCGGTCGACCGAGTTACCTGCTGGACAATGTTCTGCGGAGGTTCGCGAATGTCGTCGAGGCTGCTGTGGTGAAGACGACCGACGTGGCAGCATGTGGTCGATGTGGCACATCAGGCGCAACCGTCAGCATGTCGCAGACTTGGTACCTGCACAACGTTCATGGCGGTGCGCGATGTGCACAACGTCCAGAAGCACCTGCGAAGTAGGTGCGCACACATGCGCTTACAGTCACATGCGATTGCAAAGCTGGCAGGCCGCTCTGTTGCAGCGTTGGCAAGCCGCCTTGGTGTACCTTTGGCAAGCTGCCAAATTGCTCTGTTGGCACGCCGCCTTTCTGCAACGCTGGCGCGGTGTCAACCTGCAGTGCTGGCAGGTCTTCGACTTTGCTGCGCTGGCAGTCAACCTGTTTGGCAGCTAGGCAGACTTGCATCTGATGTAGTCATTCTTGTCATTGATTTTGCTAACATTGTGAACCAACTCTTGCTAGTAAAACTTTTGTCAGTTTGCCCCGTGAATGCGCAGATAGAGAGAACATGAGCAAACGCTACAATCACTCGTACCACCCGTGCTTTCCCCGTAATCTAACTCCCACCGGTATAGAGTGACTCTCTGCAAACACTAACCAGCAGCACTCAACCCCACAACAACAACTCAACCAACAATGCAACGGCACTCACCAACACAGCCGGTGGGGGTCATGGCGAATCCAAGGTTGCAGATGCAGGTGGCGTTGCCATTCTCCTTCACGCAGATTGAATTGGTGCCACAATTCCTTATCGCACACAATTCTGGCGGTTTATTCATGGAGGAACAGAGAGGAAGAGAAAGGGGGGAGGGAGGGGGGAGGGGGGAGGGGGGAGGGGGGGTGGGGAGAGGGTTGGGATGGGAGAGGGTTGGGAGAGGAGGAAGTGAGGGCGAGATGGGTCGGGTAAGGTATGGACTGGCTGGATAACTAGGCAATTAGGAATGGCGAGCGTCATACCCGTTGCGGGTAGAGGGCAAATAGACAGTTGGGCACTACAAGGGTTTCCAAGGCTCCCCCCTGACTATTGGTTGGACTTACGATCTGCGGCTTCACTCGTAGCTGGCGGGCTGGAGGCAGCAGCCCTGGGAGTACAGGCTGTGAGTGGGTGGGGGAAAGAACGGGAGGAAGCAGCATGGGATGAGGGGGAAGGGTTGGCAAGGCTGAACGGGGAGGCGAATGGATCAGCGGATGTTAATCGCAGCTGGAACAGGCAGCCCTGGGAGCACAGGCCAGGGAATGGGGAAGGGGGGAACGTGGAAAAGGGGGAACGGGGAAAAGGGGGAACGGGGGAAAACGGGGAACGGGGAAAAGGGGGAACGGGGAAAAGGGGGGAACGGGGAAAGGGGGGGAACGGGGAAAGGGGGGAATGGGGAAAAGGGGGAACGGGGAAAACGGGGAACGGGGAAAAGGGGGAACGGGGAAAAGGGGGAACGGGGAAAAGGGGGAACGGGGAAAAGGGGGAACGGGGAAAAGGGGGAACGGGGAAAAGGGGGAACGGGGAAAAGGGGGAACGGGGAAAAGGGGGAACGGGGAAAAGGGGGAACGGGGAAAAGGGGGAACGGGGAAAAGGGGGAACCGGGAAAAGGGGGAATGGGGAAAAGGGGGAACGGGGAAAAGGGGGAACGGGGGAAAAGGGGGGACGGGGGAAAGGGGGAACGGGGAAAAGGGGGAACAGGGAAAAGGGGGGAATGGGGAAAAGGGGGAAACGGGGATAAGGGGGAACGGGGAAAAGGGGGAACAGGGAAAAGGGGAACAGGGAAAAGGGGGAAACGGGTAAAGGGGGAAACGGGAAAGGCGGAACAGGGAAAAGGGGGAACAGGGGGAAAGGGGGAACAGGGAAAAGGGGGGAACGGGGAAAGGGGGAACAGGGAAAATGGGGGACAGGGAAAAGGGGGAAGGGATGAGGGACGGGAATTGATCATGCACGAAGGCGAAAGGGTAAGATTACCAAAATGATGTACAGTGCTGAATCTGCCCTGAAAATTGCATCTAGGACCAAGACTGCGGGCATGTCTAGTTATAGTGACAACATCGCCGCACTCACATGCATGATGCCTCTTCCAAGAATCCTAGTCCAAATTGACATACTTCTCCGCCAATCCTATTTTTTCCTCTATCGGCGGGCTTCATGCCCTACAGATATAACTTACGACGGAGACTTTCATCCTATCCCGAAAATGTCCTATTAGGACGAAAACGTGACCCAGACGTATCCTAAATAACACTATAGAGCAAAGTACCTGAGAGCATGAGAGCAGCCAGTGCAGCGAGCACGAGGCCAGAGCGCCGCTTTACAGCCATGTGCGGATGCGCTATCCCTGCGGCTGATGTTGGAACTACACGGGGCGGGCGGTATATGGGTAAGGAAGTCCACGTGGCAGCACAGCAGCACCAGCAAACTCAGGCTCTGCCACTACTGTGAACTTGTGGTGTTCACGAAAGAGGGCTTCAGAATTGAAAAGAAGCTCCTGATTCGTAGCAACTTAGGAAAGGAGACCTGAAAATAAATCACTTTCTTACTAAGAAAATCGAAAAGCAACGATAGTGAAGGCGGACTTGGAAACCTGAGTCCAAGGACAAGACGAGACAAGCAGAAGAAATACGTCTGGGATTAGTCAGGCGGGCAGCCGGCTAGTTGGCGCTGCTTGAGACCCAACGCAGGTGCAACCTTCGCCGATTGCAATGAAGGAAACAAAGTCGTACTAAGTTTCCCGCGTTGTTTTACATTTGTTCAGCACATATTGAGTACCCACGTACGTACTGAAATTCCGTACGTGGAAGTGATTATTGTGGGAATTTCGAATATTTTTTCCCCGTTCCTACTGTTAGGGCGTGACTGCGGTTTCCGCCGTCAATGCACATATCACCTGGGCAGGTAAATCGGTACAGTATCTGGCTTTCAACCTGAGCAGTGAAATTCCCGTTTCTATTGACAGCCAACAACTTCAGCATGGACACAAATCGACGAAGGACAATGGTGGGACCTCGCAACGGGTGGCGTTGTACAAAACAAGAGTACTGTGGTCCAACAAAGTTCATTCAAACAATGCAGGGCAGGTCTTCTTTGTTTATGTCGAAATGTTGCGAGGGTTTGATTCTGCTTTGTTTTGTTTGGATTGCTGGTTCAACGCATTTCTGACATGGTGAGTCCGCACCGGATGAGCAAATTTCCAAGCTCATCAACAAAATTCCGTCCATGTCAGCAGCTGAAATTGTGCGCAACGACCTGAACCGCAACCGCATCGAAACCGTCGACACCACTCTCGCCCCGCTTTCTGGAGTCTTGTGTCGTGTCAATTAGGACGCGGTACAGATCGGATGATAGATCGCCTCAGATCGTCCGATCGGGTCAGGTTGGATCGGATTGCCTGGGATTGCCCCGACCTGAGGCAATCTGTCGATTGCGTCCCGAGCTGCGCGATCAGACGATGAATTTCGAGGAAGTAAGTAATCATCAGCCGCGCGGGCTTTATGTTATTCACTCGTTCCTTCCCTGTAGAGGTGGCGACACCTGACTAAATTTTGAATCGTGCAATTACAACGTAGCCCTTTTGGGGGGCCGACGCATCTAGAAAGTTCTGATATCGCGATATCCAATGGTGCTGCTAGAAGTTTCGACAGCGGAGGTTACCGTTCGCAACGGTTGCCAAACCCGCGATCTAAGGCAATCTGTCGATTGCAATCGATCGCAAGCGATTGCGTCAGATCGGCGCGATCGATCGCAGTCGATCGGATTTCCGATTGCAATCAACAGATTGCCCCCGATTGCAAGCAATTGCCTCAAAATACCCCTGCGGCTTCTTGGAAATGGTGGATTGCCCCAATCTGACGCAATTGCACTCAGGTCGGGCCGGACTGCATCGCGTCCTTAGATCTAGCCTTTTTTCTTTCCAAAACATTAAAATTGTTTTAATCCTGGGGATTTGACGGTTATTGTTGCCTGGACAATCAATACCAAAAGAACTAGTATCCAGTCGATAGTATAATTTATAGCCATATGCGCCACAATTACATGTCCTCCCAATCGGGCAAGAAATATATAAGCCCTGTTAGAGGAAGGACCTTTGGATAGGATAAGAGGTGCTTTTAGTAGAGTTGGTAGCGGAAGTCTTGTAAGAACTCAGATCATAGTGAATGTAAATGACCAAGTTGATTAAACAATAAAATACAAGAAATATAAATAGTCCTAGTCTAGCCATGTACTCTGAGGGGTACATTCCCTTATTATAACTGTTTTATAGGGATTTCTACAGTGACTCTGACTGTTGTACTACTTTCTTGTTACCGAGTCGCTACATGTAACCTGAGCGGTTACGCCTGTTGCCATTCCTCGATGGTAAGTCAAGCGTCGGTCCAGATGGTCAACAGTCGCGATAGTTGACTCTTGCGACTGTTGACCTTCCTACCCTTGATACGGGCTCATCCGATACTGCGGTTGTTGCTGCTTCGACAAAGTCAGGTGCGATACTGCTGCACCTACGAGAATGCTGAGTATAATTCCCTTCACACTCCAACACTCCCCTTCATTCCTGGAGGTGCGCCACGTGGCTTTTGCGAGTCACTCCGTACAGGTCCGAGCAGTACTGAAACTTCTGACGTGGCAGTTTCTTCGTGAGAAAGTCAGCTGCCATTTCGCCAGTTGGACAGTAGATGAGCTGGACTTTCCCTTTGTCGATTTCGTCCTTCACGAAGAAGTAACGCAGGGCGATGTGTTTCGTGCGGTTGACGAAGCCTGGCTTGTTTGCGATTTTAATCACACTCTGGTTGTCACAGAGTAACTTAAAGGATCCGTCCATCGCCGTCTTCGTTTCCTGCAGAAGCTCCGTGAGATAGAGTCCTTCGCGAACTGCTGCGCTTGCTGCGATGAATTCTGCTTCTGCTGACAAGAGGGCGATAAGTTCCTGTTTGTTGGAGTTCCAGGAGATGGTTCCTGCAGGCTCGAGCTTGAAAATGAAGCCTGTGCGGAACCTCTTGTTGTCTGCGTCCCCGGCGTGGTCAGCATCCACATAGCCGGTGAGTTGTAGTGGCGCTGTTAAGTTGGCCTTGTAGGTGAGACCGACATCAGGCGTAGAGATGAAGTACTGTAAGGCGCGGCGTAGGTCTGCTAGGTTCTCCCCTTCAGGTCGTCGCAGGTACTGGGCGAGCTGGCTGGCGTTGTAGGATAAGTCCGGGCGGCATGTGACGGCGGCGAAGGGTAAACATCCGAGCTGCTGCTGGTAGAGACGGTGATCGGCCGTTGAGAGCGGAGTAGTGTCGGGCTCGTGGTTAGGCAGAGGAATGCGGAACGGGGTGGTGACGCCGACGGGAGGTATCCCGAACTTCTTAGCGAGTGTCTCGGCGTACTTTGCAGCGGAGAGATGGATTGTATCCGCGGTCTGAGTGATGTTGAGGCCGAGGAATTGAGTGACCTCATGGTCGATCGTGACCTCGAGCTTCTCCTGAATGTCACATTTGAAGCGGTCGAGTAGGTTTGTGTCGTCTCCGGTGTAGAGGAGATCGTCGACGTAGGCGACGAGTAGGATGAAGTGGCCGCGGGATTCGAGGCGGTACATCCCCTGGTCGTGGGGAAGTTGCTGGAAGCCGAGCTCGATGAGGACGCCGTGAAGACGCTGCTGCCACAGGCGTGGTGCCTGCTTGATCTCGTACAGGGACTTTTGAAGGAGACAGATGGCGTCGCCTTCTTCCTCGAATGCGTGTGGCTGTTCGACATAGATGACGGCATCGACGATCGCATAGAGGAACGCGTTGGAGACATCGATCTTGCAGAGTGGACACTGTTTTACGGCGGCGATGCAGAAAAGAATGCGCACTAAGGTATGACGACCGACAGGTGCAAATGTTTGGTCGTAGTCCACGAATTGTGTCTGCTCGAATCGTCGAACCACCCATCGCGCTTTGAATTTCTCGACTATTCCGTCCGCGAGGGTCTTGATTCTGAAGACCCATTTTCCTGTTAGTATTTTCCTCCCCTTTGCGTGGCGACGTGGTACCAGCTTCCAGGTGCCGCGGCGTTGCAGTGCAGCGACATCTGTGGCCATGGCGGCTCTCCACTTCTCAGCACCGGGCCCGTTGAGAGCCTGGCAAACGGTGGTGGGCTCAACCAGCTGCTGGTTACCCCGTACGGCGACGGCCAGGCCAAGGATGCGAAGGCCCGTGAGGTTGGATTCGGCTGTGGTGGTAACTTCGATCACGTCGTCGTCGTCGCCAGGGATGTCGCGAAAGGTGTCACGGGAGGAGTCGCGAACTGGGTCTTCTTTCATGGGTGAGTGCATGTCTGCACTTGCATAGTCGTGTTGTGCCTGTACTGCTTCATGAGGATCGATGTCTGTTGGGAAGTATGCAGGAGTGCCGAACTGCTTCGTAATGGGGATGAAGGGTGCCTCGTCTGCCATGTCTGCTGCTGGCTCGGTCGGTTGTTCTCCTGCCACGTCAACGTCGTCCTCGTCGTTGGCGAAGCTGTGCTGTCCTTGGAAAATGTTGTCTGGTGCATTCTGTGCAGTGCGGTGCTGGCGGTACAGTGGCAGAGTCAGTCTTTCGTAGAAGATGCGGTCACGTGAACGCGTGAGCTGGTGGGTGGCGAAGTCCAGAATTTTCTAGGCGTGGTATTTGGATTCGATTCCGAGGTGAATGCCCGAGCGAGCGCGATCCTCGAATTTTCCTGTTCGGGCAGTGTGGGGGCGGTACTGTACCATGCACCCGAAGACCCGCAGCATGCGAGTGTCGGGGTGTTTTCCGGTCCACTCCTTCAAGGGTGAGCTGTTGTTGGGCAGTGCCTTCAAGGAGAGCATGTTGTGTGTGAGAGTACGACGGCTTATGCCAGCTATGCTTGCTTGCCTTCACTTTATCATGCTGTTTCTAGCATATGATAATCATATGCATGCATCAATTGCTTGATTTCCTAGGCTAGGTGCTTTCCTATATTTTATTATAGATATTGAGAAAACTGAAACGAGAATGAATGAACTATGAGTGAAGTGGGTACAAGTACTAACCCTAATTGGGTTGTACCCCCTATGGGATACCCCACTACAGCCTACACAAAAGCATAAGCTATAATGTTCTGACACACCCCCATAGGCAAAGTGGGGAGAACAGGGGGTCACAAGACCAGTCAAGCAAAGCAAAACAAAGCAAAGCTCAGGGTGGATCACACACTCACCACACATTCCGAGCACAAGTTCAAGGCCACAAGGCCAGTTCACATGCAGGAGTACATATATATATAAGGCTAGACAAGCAAGAGCACGTATATATATATATGTAACAGTACAAGCAAGGTCAAGAGGTAAGCAAGTGAGGCA